CCCCAAAACCCCAAAACCCCAAAACCCCAAAACCCCTCCTCCTCCACCCCACATTGAAAATCCTACTTCCCCTTCTCTTCGTACCTTCATTTCCCTTCCTTTGTCCTCTAAATTCCTTTCCTTGTGCTTTAAGACTTCTGCTAATTGTAAATGAGCATGCTGGCTTAGGAAGTCCTGTTAGAGAGAAAATGCTAGGCTGAAGAACAGAGTGAGGAAGGAATGGAGGAAGGTGAGAATGGGGGTTAAGAGAGGTGAGGAGAAGAGAGAGAGGGGAAGTATCATCGACAATGTGAAGAGCTATAAAAATAGCAAACCTAATTTTTGTGTTTTGTATGAATTTTAGAAAATAAATAGGAAGCCATTTAAAGTGAAATATACCTGTTGAAAATACCTTTTACAGGTATTGAAGAAATTACACGGCTTTTAATATTTTTCATCCAAATAGCTTTATTAATTAATGATATCTCTTGAAAATAAGTATTTGCACTTCACATTGAAGGGATGGTACCTAAGTTAAGTTTGGATTTCATATGATTATATATACTTTATCTATAATGTTTGATAACGTTTGTTATAGGCTAATTATTTCCAGTACCTGAAATAGGAGGATTTGAATTTTATCAATGGCAACTGAATTTCGGGTACTAACGGTAAAATCAGATATATCAACTATTAAATGGGCTAAAATTTAAATCAGTAGCTCATTGAAAACATATTTGACTAAATTTCCGGATACTAAAATATATATTTAAAAACTTCCATAAATGTGTCATAAGAATCTTTGGTTAAACTAAGTATAAGATTATTCCATAGAAAAATAGCCTTTTCCTTTTGGAAATTGATTCCGTCTCTTTTGGGGAAAATTGAACTTTCGGAATCTTTCCATCAAGCTTTTACAAGTCAAACTCCCAAAATTATCTCGGACGAATTTTCCTAAATTACTTTTTTAGTTTCAAAGATTCGTTGACTATTTTTAGGAAAATATGAGTATTGTTAATACTTATGTTATCAATTAATTAGGATAATGGGGCTTAATTATTAACCCCAAAAGTGAAAAAGTCATCCTTTGATGAGCTACCTTCAGAACTACTTTCTAAAGAGAAATCAGAAAGATCTAATTTGTCTAGTTGAACTTCTGAAGGCTTGACTTGAGATGCAACAAATGTACTCTTCCTTCTTATTTCAGCTGCTTTACGGAGAAGATTTCTGATCTCGTTCTGAAGAGAGCCTGTTTTGGGTTTTGGGGAGATTTCTGAGTCATTACTCAAGATGCTTGATTTTCTCATTTCAGTTGCTTTCCTTGTGGTTTGCAAATTCAAAGACATCTTAAATTGAATTGTATCCATTTCTTTAAAACTTCTTTGCTGTTTAGATAATAGTACGGTGTCTGTAGCATTATCCCTAACAGTTCTTCTTGATTTGCAAGTTTTAAAAGCAGAATTGTTCATTTTAGCACTCATTTTCTCTGAGATCTTTACATTACATCTAGATGCATTCTCGCTAAGAATTTCATCGGAGAGGTTTTCGCAGTTATCTGTAATAAAGTTAGTATTCATTTTTATTATTAAGTAATCTTCAGTAATTTATATTTGACTTGGGGTTTTGGGGTTTTGGGGTTTTGGGG